AAGTGTACAAATCAACCCACTGTCTAGTTTCTCCTTTATAAAATGTCGGTCTACTTCAATGTGTTTTATTTTGTCATGTTGTACAGGATTGTGTGCAATGCTTATTACAGATTTGTTATCACAGTAGAGTCTCATTGGTCCATCCCACTTGATCTTCAAGTCTTATAGGATAATCTTTAACCATAGTAGTTCACAAATTCCTTGAGTCATTGCTCTGAACTTTGCTTCAGCACTTGATCTTGTCATCACATTCTGTTTTTTACTCTTCCAATTCACAAGATTACCACCTAAAAAAGTACAGTAACCAGAGGTGGATCTTCTATCAGTTACTGAACCTACATAATCAACATATGTATATGCTTCTAAAACTAACTGTAGACACCCAATTGGGTCTGGCCCAAATCAATTGGGCCTGGCCCAAATGGGTAAGCCCAATTCAATTTTATCTTGTATTTTTTTTCTTTTTTTCTTCTTCTTTTGTATTTTATGTATTGTATTATTTATTATTATTATGTATTAATATATGTATATATTTATTTATTTTTTTGTTAGTATTTATGTGTATTTTATTATTTATGTATATATATATATATATTTTTTATCTTTTTTATTTTATTCATTTTTGTATTTTTACTTATCTAATTATATATCTGATATATTTTTTTATTATTATTTATCCTATAATATCTGCTGATTTATCTTCTCTAATTATCTAGTTTTTTATTTTATTTGATTTTGATTTTGGAGGGCTGAGATTGAAGGCTGAAGAATCCCATTGGAAATGGGAATTCAATCAGAAGAGTCCAGTGGGATTCAAAGATTGAATTCCCGTCCAAGGAGGAATTGGGATTGATCAGGAACTCCTGATCAATCCCTATAAAAGGGACTCTGAAACAGAATGTAAGACACACAGAAAACAGTAAGCAAAGCTACTGATTTGAGAGAAAAAGAGGCGTATAGGAAGCTAAGAAAAGTTTATGAGTGTTCTGGGAGTGAGAAAAATTTTTTAGAAATTTTTGGCGAAAATTTTTTCTGGAAATTTCTGGGAAATTTCCAGATTCCGGCGAAATTCCGGCGAAGTTTGAATTTTCCGGTGAAAATTCTGGCCAACCTTGAAGCTTCCGGTGACCTACCCAGTTTTCGACGAAGAATCCCAGAAACCGGCGATCTTCCGACCAACTTCCGGCGAAATTTCCAGATTCCGGTGATATTTTCTAGAATCCGGCACCGGTGTTCTTCGGTTTTTAGAGAGAAGGGAGAGAAAAAGGGAAGAAGAGAGAGAGAGGGAGGAGCGTTCTGCCGAAAAAACGAAGGGGATTGCCTTTTATACCCTCTCAAAACGACGTCGTTTTGGCATTAAGTAACCCAGAGGATCCGCGCGTTTTGCCGAACCCGACCCGACCCGGGCGTCGACCCGCTTTCTGACCCGCGCGTGCCAGCCCCCTCCGAGCCGAGCCGAGCCGAGCCAAGCCACCAAGCCGCTCCCCCCGAGCCGTTTTCTCTTCCTTGAGCCGAGCCGAGCCGCGATCCGAGCCGCTCCAGGTTTTTTTTTTTTTTTTGAATTTTTTTTATTTCTTTGTTTATTTGTTTATTTTATTTTTTATTTATTAGATTAGGTTTATGTAATATTCTTTTTTATTATTTTTTATTATTTTATTTTCTTTAAATAAAAATAAAAAATTCCAAAAAAAATATTTTTAGGGAAAAGTTGAAAGTATCAATTTTCCTTAAAAATAAATTTCCAAAAAATATTTTTGGGGAAAAGTTGAAAGTATCAATTTTCCTCAGAAATAAATTTCAAAAAAAAATATTTTTAGGGAAAAGTTGAAAGTATCAATTTTCCTTAGAAATAAATTTTCAAAAAATATTTTTGGGGAAGAGTTGAAAGTATCAATTTTCCTCAGAAATAAATTTCAAAAAAAAATATTTTTAGGGAAAAGTTGAAAGTATCAATTTTTCTTGAAAATCAAAATTTCAAAAAAAATATTTTTGGTGAAAAGTTGAAAGTATCAATTTTCCTTGAAAATCGAAATTTCCAAAAAAATATTTTTGGGGAAAAGTTGAAAGTATCAATTTTTCCTACAAAAAAAAATCATTCTTTCCTTCCTTTCTATCTTAATTTTGATTTTGTTTTTTTTCTGTTAAATAATCCGACGACGGAGCCTCTGCAAGTGAAACAGTAGTTTTTCTTGCATACTCTTGAGGTGAGGGAATTTTCTCAATTTTCTGCTAAAAGTATTAGAGTCAATTGAGAATAATTTTCAATAATTAACTACTTGGTAAAATTTTAAGGCTTTTGGATAACACAAATTTTAGCTGGTACCATCTTTTGATAGGCGTTGTGAGGGTGCTATAACCTTCCTCACACGTAACCGAACTCCCGAACCCTGTTCTGATTTGTAGACCCGAACCTATTCTTTTAGGGGCCCTTAAACTTAGGTGTTCCCTAAAAGGACAGATTCCATAGGTGGCCAATCGCACCTAGATAAAAAAAAAGATTGTTAGCGACTCCCTGAAAGTCAATGTCTAGCGATAGATCCCCGGATCTAGACGTTATGATACTAACCTCGAATTTTTTTTGAATAAGATACCTTTCTCAAGATTGAGCTTCAAATAGTGCAATATACGGTAGACAGCCTGTAGGTGCATTTCTTTAGGACTATGCATAAATTAACTTACCACACTCACAGCATATGCTATATCAGGTCTAATATGTGAGAGATAAATAAGTCTTCCAATTAATCTTTGATACATCTCTCTATTTACAGTAGCATCTTCATTAGCTTCTCTAATTTTATGATTAAGATTTATAGAGGTATTTACAGATTTACATGCAAGCTTCTCAATTTTTTTCAAAAAATCTATCACATATTTCTGTTGTGAGATAAAAATACCATACCGTGAGTGAGCTACTTCAATTCCTAAAAAGTACTTTAATCTCCCTAACTTTTTATCTCAAATTCTCTAGCCAAACACTGTTTTGAAGATTCTTTCTCTTTTTTATCATCTCCAATTATAATTATATCATCAACATACACTAATAAAACTGCGACTCTTCCTGAATCAGAGTGCTTGATAAACAATGTGTGATCTCCTTGACTCTGTTTATATCCCATTGCTATATCACTTTGGTAAATCTCTCGAACCAAGCTCTAGGAGACTGTTTAAGGTCATATAAAGCTTTTTTTCAACTTGCATACTTTGTTTGCTTCTAAATGACCTTTAAATCTCAGTGAAACCTTCATATATATTTCTTCTTCCAAATCACCATGTAGAAAAGCATTCTTTAGATCAAATTGTTGAAGCTGTCAATTGTAATTTGCAACCAATGATAACAAAATCCTAACTGTATTCCTCTTGGCAACTGGAGCAAAAGTTTCCTGGTAATCCACTCCATAGGTTTGAATGTAGCCCTTAATGACTAACCTGACTTTATATCTTTCAACAGTATCATCTACCTTGTATTTTACAGTGAAAACTCATTTACACCCCACTGAATTTTTTTCTTTAAGCAACTCTACTAGTTCTCATGTTTGATTTTTCTCTAAGGCCTCTATTTTTATTTTCATGGCTTGCCTCCATTTTTTATTGGATAATACCTCGGATAATGTAGTTAAAACAGAAATAGTGTTTAGGCTCACAAGAAAATTTTTGTGGGATGGTAAAAATTTTTCAAATGACACAAAATTAGATATTGGGTATAGTGGATGCTTGGTACATTTTCTGGTTCCTTTCTTAATGGCAATAAGCAAATCATAATCACTAGCTATAGTTTTAGGAAATTTATGCTCATTTTGAGAAACAAAGTCAAAAACTGTAGTTACCTCATTTTCAGAGTTACGATTAATTTCTTGGACTGGCACTGATTCAAGATCTGAAACTTTTCTTCTTGAGTACACCTGTAATTCTTTCACAGAATCAAGAACAATATTATTCTTTGTCACATCTTTCGTATTTGGAATAGGTTCAGACTCAAATTCAGTGTTTGACTTGGACTCAATAGAAATAGGTTTCGACTTAAAAAAATTAATGGGGGTAAATGTTGAAGAAAGGGGCAAATCAAACAAAAAAAAATCTTTATTCTTATCTTTCATGAATGAAGTCTCCCCCTGAAGATAAGATTAAGTAAAAAATTATTTATTTTCTTCAAAAGTGATATCTGCAAACAAAATTTTTTTGTAAGGAAGATGATAGCACTTATATCCTTTTTTAGTTGAAAAATACACCACAAAATACACTTAATCGCTCTTAAATCCAACTTTCTCCTGTTATGACTGTGAACATGAATAAATGATGTACAACCAAATATCTTATGTGTGAGATTGTTTGTGGATATTGAGGTTGAGATAAAATTCTTGAAAGTAGTTTCATAAGAGTTTTAAATCTCAAAACTCTTGAAGGAAATCTATTTATAATTGTGTGACAGTGAGAACAGCTTTCTTCAATAAGATTTAGGTACATTACTTGAAAAAGAAAAGCACAGATTGTGGCTAGCAAATAACTGTTTTTTCTCTCTGTCACTCCATTCTGCTGTGAAGTAGTTAACACAAGATGAGCATGGATAATCCTTCTTTTTGAAAATAAGTGGATAGACTCTGTTTGAAGTAGTCTCTTGCATTATTAGACCTAAATCTCTTGATTCTCACTCTAAATTTATTTTGGATCATATTTTGAAGCTTAAAACATATTATCACATCTGATTTAGATTTAAGTAAAAAAATTCAAGAGATCCCTAGTACATTCATCTATGAATGAAACAAATCATCTCACATCAAAAATATTAAGAATTGTTAAAAAGACCTCAAATGTCACTATGAATCAAGTAAAAGAGAGTAAAATTTCTTTTGTTACTGGTTGAAAAAGACACACGTTTATGTTTTGTAAATTCACAAATATCATAATAAAAATCTTCAACATTTAATCCTTTTGAACAAAGAAGGAAAACATGTTTCTCAAGGTTCCAAAAGAAGGATGTCCAAGACGAAAATAATAAAGCTAGATTTGTCTTTATTGAAAGATTTTTCAGAAAGAAATGACAAAAGTAAACTATTTTTTATACTACTTGTGTTATTTGATGTCTCAAGATAATATAATCCATCTTTCTCTTTAGCAAGTCCAATCATCTTTCCCAAACTCTGATCCTGAAATTCACAATAAGAAGGATAAAAAGTTACTTTACAATTCATATCTCTGGTAAGTTTTTGTATAAATATCATATTAGTAGACAATCTAGAAACATGAAGAATATTTTTTAGAACAAATGAGTGATTAACTTGAACATCTCCTAATCTTGCCACTGTGGTAAGTGAACCATCAGCAACAATAATTTTTTTATTACTAAGACACAGGTTATATGTACTAAACTTTTGTAAGGAATGTGTCATGTGGTCTGCGGCTCCTGAGTCAATAACCCAAGAACTCGTAATAGGCTTAATCGAGACATTTAATCCATGAGAACCGAAAGCTTTACCTGAACTAGAAAACTTTACCCAAAAACATACCATAATAGGCTTTTCAAGGATTTTCAATAAGTTTTCAGCTTTTCAATCTCTTCCCTGTTGAAACTCTCCTTGTTTCTTGATACATCTGTAGTACTCCAGTGATTTTTTCTAGTTAACATTTACTCAAATTAGGTGGTTAGGATATCTTTCTTTGAAAGGGTTCGACAATGAAGGCTTAAATAGGATTCGACAATGAAGGCCTAAAAAATCAGCAATGAAGGTTGAAAATTTTGCTTCCAAGAAGAGCCTAAAACTCTGATACCATGTAAAAACTGAATATATATTGAAAAACTGCTTATTTTTAATTATACAAGAATCTTAGGTCTATATACAACTAACTAGGGGTTACACTAGGAAACTAAATCTTCCTTAATTCTAGGAATACAAATACTTAATTCTAGAAATACAAATATAAATATATAGATTACAAGATTACAATCAACTATAAATAAGTGTTTTCCCACAATTGTCACTACTTATAAAATATATATATTAATATGTACTCTCCAAAAAATGTGCCACATTAGATTTCTTTTCCTTTTGAAATAAGTTACAACATACTTAATCACCATCTTCTCTGTAAAAATATACCATCCTTTTTTTTTTACATAAAGATTTGAATTACATAATTGGAAGTAGACTTCTCCATCCCATAAATTTCACTATAACTTTCACGATGGAATCTCAAATTCTAATAGTTGGGAAAATACCTTTGAGACATAATCTTTTTAATCTCCACTTTCTTGCTACCAATAACCCTAGTTCAACCTTTCCCCTTTCTATTTCCCCAATTCAATTTTTCAACAAAATTCCAGCTGTAACCAAAAACTATTTTCTTGTATTTGCATCAAATTTATTTGCTAGAAGCTTTAGTGGTAGGGAAGCTTTTTCTTCTTATCAATTTAATTCAATTCATTATTCCCAAAACCACTCTTAAATTACACCTGAAAGCAAAAGTTGGCATTGTTCTAACTATTCCATCCCTAATATAATCCTAAGAGAACTGAATCAACAGATAAATTCCTTTCCTCATAAATCTTCCATTAGCCATTCTCAACTAGGAATCTCTTCTCATCATATTTACATTAATTCATTCTCTAAAATATATACATTGGCAATCTTCTCTTTAAACAAATAGTCAATAATTCAATCTTTTCGTAATTTTAGGCTTGCCAAATTTGGAGTTGACATTTAGAATTTAAAGTTAAATTAGGAAAAGGTGGAGATATGGAGAATGAAGGTTTAAGAAATGCTAGAGGGAGACATACATAAAATGAAAGAAATTAAGAGCATTTTTAAATAGAATGATCATGTATGTAGCAACCTATTTTACAATATAAAAAAATTGATGTAATATGTTTTAATTGGAAAGTTTAGATATGAAAATCTCATAGCTAAGCTCTATTAGAGTTTAAACGTTACAAGAAAACCCTAAAAATTTACTCGAAAGTAACAATCAACCACTGATATTTAGTAAATATTTTTCATTTATAACATCCAACCTAAAACTAATTGGCTACAAATAGAAATGTCCAACTTGAATATAAGACCATAGAAACCCAAGACTTAACAAATGTGTAATAAGACCACTTAACACTTCCCCTCATGTCTTGCTAAACAAGGGCTTATCACAAAGGTAACAAGCAGGAAGAACAGAACAAACCTAGGCTTTGATGCCATGTTATGCATTCAAACTAAAACCAATTGTCTATGATGGAGAGGCTCAATTTGAATATAGGATCATAAGAAACGCAAAACTTAACATATATCGAATAAGACTACTTAACAAAGGTAAGAATATATAAAAAACCATGGCATTCAAACATAAAATGAATGAGACCATCACCAATCACAATATTAATGAATAGAAAGAAACATTAAAACATAAGCTAGATTTAACAAAGCAAAACATGTAACCTTGCAACTTCCCTTTCAAATTTCTAATGATAATCCATGGTGAAACTGACAATAAATAAATCATAGATCACTCATATAATTTGACTATAGTTCAACTACAACATTATTGGTCGCTAATGATTTTGAAGAACATAAAAATAATCTTAAAATCCTGGTTTTTAGGCCTTAACATTTTGTATATACATTTATCATTTCTCTCATGTACACTTGTAAATTAATAGCATGTTCTTTTTATTATTTAATTATTTATCCTATTTATTTTGTAGTTATAATTTCTTTAAGGCTTATGTCAATATAAACATAATCACTTGAAAGTGTTTTGATTTTTAAAAAAGAATGTACCAATGAGAGAAAAATATAGTTTCATAGATACAACATGTAGATTGATTGTTTGTTTCTTCCTATATCAGATTCCTTATTGTTTTTACTTGTAATTGTTTCGATATTGCTCATTTGTGCAAAATATATCAAGCTTTGATAAGAAGATTTTTCTACCTCTGAAAATTAGTCTTTGATATTTGAAATCAAAGGCACCCTTAATTAATTTATTCACAAATTCACTGGGTAGCACATACCTATGGTCTTACCCCATGTAGATTTTGGGGCATGGCGAAGTCTTTCAGGTTCTCGAAATTGTTCAACTAAAACAATAATTCAGAAAATAATCACATCAACATCCGATAAATACATAAATCAGTGGATAAAGTAATGAAACAGAAGTACCATACCCACTCATCATCCATTGGTATATCATCGAATTCCAAATGGCAGTCCTGAAAATTAGGATAAACATCAATTACAGTAGCACATACCATCAATTAAAAAAATTTGAACAATAGAAGAATTACATGCTATTATTCTTGCAATAATATATGATGGTGGAGTTAACTATCAGTTTGATAAAAGACAGGTATATAAATATTTAACACTATGATGTTGGATATTTTAGGCTAGAAGCATAAATCATAAGGTATGAATGAGTTGTTCCTCAAAGGTGTTAATCTTTTGAGAGGCAACCTTTTGTCATATTCAAAGAGTCAAGTGCATGTGTGGACTAATTTCAGAGGAAGTGTGTAGATCAGAGAATTAGTTAATGAAATAGTCGTAGGTTGAAAGTAGGTTAGTAATCCTATTCCTATGTTGTTTGAGGAAAAAAGCACACAATGTGTTTGAATATAGGAGGTTATATACTTTTCCTACTTAACCAATTTATAATGTACTACCCTTTGTCTAGTAGTAACAGCACAAGTTGATTATGACTTAGCCTTCTCTAATACTCAATGGTGGCAAGGTGTTTTAACATGAAAGGCTTCAAGTGATAATTGATAGGATTTCATTTAATGTTCCAATATTTGGTTGTTTTGAATTGAATTGATTAATTAACTTGGCAATTGATTTTGTTCAGCATGGAGGAAACCATTACCATTTGGTTTTTAGTCTGATTTCTGTTTACCTGAATAACAGGTTCTTGCTACTTAGTCTGCAGTAATTGTGTTTTACATTGTGGGAGAAAAGTTAGCTTGATTTGGGGTTTATCTCATACCTATCTTTATGAATTTGCTTAGATTATTAAACCAATGGAAGGCTTCAAGATCCTTAATTATTGAAAAGAGGATAATATAACAAGGAGAACTGGACAATCCTACCTAAGCTCCGTGGCAAGTATTTAGGAGATGAAAAGAAACAACAAAAATTTAGGAGGTTGAATTTCAGGCAATAGAATGCATAGCTATGAAAGCAACAAAATATTGGGAGATTTAGTACTAGAGGATCAGGAGAAGTGGTAATAGAAGGCTGAGTTTGGTAGTAAGTAATGTTTGGGACTCAGAACTAATACAAAGAGAAGGGGATATAATCTACATGGTAATACTTATTTGTTAATGGTCAAGATCAGGCATTGACACTATTATAATAACTAGAGTATTAGCCATATTAACAATTGCACCAAAAAAAATGAAATAATAGAAGTACAAAATCTTTTCTGGGAAGGTAAAGGAGCATTTTTCAAAGAGCAGTATACATAAGGGCAAAACAAGGTCAAAAGATTAGAAATAATTAAGAGCTGGCACTCTGTAACCAAAACAAGCAGCAAGGAGCACCAAAGAAATAATTAAAACAGGGGCAAGGGCTTGGACATGATAGAAATTTAAAGTCCATCAACAATAGAAACCCCAATTCGGGAAGCAAAGTTCCAGTTAAGGAGATGACAGATCAACTAAAAGTGTCAATACTAAATTCAAAGATAAGAAGCTTACAACAGACAATAATAACCTAATGATTTGATGATAGCTATATCCCTCATCAAGAATAATATATGGGATTTGTGCGAGTGATTTTGGTATATGTTTTCTTTCACCAGCTAAATTGATAAGAAAAGGCTTTAGTATACATAACATATTCATCCCATGCAAAAGCCAACTGTGCCTATTTTTGTGTTTGCATATATACCTGATCATCTTGGTTGAGAAAATTTTGTTCTAGCTGTTGCATCCCAGGTTCCAGCGCTTTGCTTCTAATTCTCACCATATTCACTTTTTTGGATTCATCACTTACTTTTCTCTCTAATTTATCTGCTCTAGCACTGATCTTTAATTTGCACAACACAAAGCAAAAGTTAGAAATGAGACAAACAGAAGAAACAGACAGGGAGAGAATTGGTGTCTTACCTTCGAAAGCTCCTCTTTCAAAGAGTTTATCTCAAACTGTTGCGCCTCCTTCTCGTTTTTTAGTTCTTTATTCTCTTCTTCCAATCTTTTTTTCTCTTCATCCAGTTCTTGGTTCTTTTCTTGTAATGCTTTGTTCTTGGCCTTCATTTACAGATACAAAAATGACAAATTCCATAAGATATAAAAAAAATAATAAGGGGAAAATATGAATAAAATACCAAATAAAAGAAGAGAGAAAAAGAAAGTTCTTTACGGCTTTATTTTGTCGATATAATCTACCACTTTGTATTTTATTTGCATGTCTTTCAGCTACAGTTAGCTTAGGTTTGCGACCTCTCTTTTCTGGCTTGTTTGAAGAAGCCTCTGTATGTTGTTCACTTTCATTTGGGCTTTCCAATTGTCTCTTTCGCTTTGGTTGGTGACATCTGATCATTTTTTGTTTGTTTGAAGCCTTTGCCTCCTCCTCCGCATCAGGCTGTTTTTTGCTTTCATCGGGATTTTGCCTTTGCTTTGGTTGGCGACCTCTGATCTCTTCTGGATTGTGGTTTGAAGCCTCTGCCTCTGCCTGCCCTTCCATATTTCAAGCACAAAGGAAATAAAAATCCCCTAAAAAAAAGAAAAAGGAAAAAGAAATCTTTTCAATAAAAAAGTTTCATTGATCCGATCAGCAAAAGTAATAGCAATCACATTAAATCAGCAAAACAAACAGGAAAATATTCAAATAATTGGAAATAAAAAACTTTGCCCAAGAATAGTATAATACAGAAACAAAGTCGGGGAAAAAGGGATCTCAAGAAAATATAATGAAAAGAAGCTAATCATTCAGCTGGAGAAGCATTTAAAGAAGCTGAAAAGGACAAATTCGAACTACAAAACTGAGTATTGCTGCTAGTGCTACCATTACAGTAAGGAAGAAACAAGAAAATTGAACAAAAAAAAGTGCTAAAACCACCAAGAAATTATAGTTGCCAAAGGAAATAAGCTTCTATCATTGATCTTTGAAAGGAAACAAAGAGAGAAAAGGAAACCAGTACTCACTGGTTCAGTATCTGAGAAGGAATGAAGAATAGCTACTTAGGGTTAGAACTTCCTTTCTAATATTAGTTACCAATTTGTTTATGGTGCGAAACTTTGCAAACTCGAGTTCGCAATAAGAATGATGGAAGAAAAGAATTAAGGACTCGGGATTGAAATTCCATCTCTTTCAACGCAGATATAACGAACTTTATATATAAATATATATATATATATATATATATATTTATATGTAATTATGCTAGAGTAAAAATATATTTATTTAATTATGCTAGAGTAAAAATCAATATAACCTATATAAAAAGGATCTTAAAAGTTTTTGCTTGCCACGTATTTTTCCTTTTTTGTTTTACAACGTTTTGCCATTTTGGTGAGGTCCAGGGATCTTTTACTTGCATCAAAGAGCGTAAGGTTATTTCCTTGTTTATATGTATCTTTTTATATTATTTTATTTTGACAGTTGTGTTTTGACTTCAAAAGATGTGTTTAAGATTAAATTTCAAAGTTTTTGTTTTCAAGTTTTTGTTATTATTTCAAAGCTGTTTCGAAGGGTGTAACTTTCGCATGAAAGGGAGTTTGTTTTAGTCTGTGATTATTGGATTTTTTTTTTTTTTTGTTATGGTATTTTTGGGTCAAATTTTTTTTCTTGTTTTATTAAATGTGTGTGTGTGTGTTTTTTTTTTGAAGTGATTTTGATGTTACACATTTTTATGTGAAATAGAGCTTAAGTTTTGTCATTGTCAAGGTTACGTATTATTGTGAATATGTTTTTTTTAATAATTTATTTTTAAATGTTTTGATGTTAGATAAAAATTAAAATGTTCTTTATAGAAATATAGTTTTTCAGTATGCAATTTGTGTCTTTTTTAAGAGTATTTTATTTACATATTGTTTGAATAAAATTTTTTGATTGATTTTTTTTTCTTTTGTCTCACGGAATTTTCAAGCCATTTGGATATTATATTTTTAGGTTTGTTTGAATTGTAATATGTGTTATTTATTTTATTTATTTTATATCTTGGTTTGTTAGGTTTTATGTGTTATTTGTTTTTTGACATTGTATATTTGATTTTTGCTTATCAATTGATTCATCTAAAGTTGAGATTTTTTTTATTATTATTAAGCTTTATATTGTGTTATCTTTGACTAATAGAGAAAATTAAATTATATGATAGGAAATGATATTGAATAGAAGTAGTTTTAAAGCAAAAAGAATTATGAAAAGAAAAAATTAGGTGATTGAATTAATTAGCAAGGAATTTTCCAATTTTGAACATTTTCTTTTTCAAATTTTCAAAAGGAGACACCTTTAAGAATATGAAAACTTTGATATCCATTGTTTAAAGGGTAAGTTTCAAAGATTGTAGACTGACTTTTAGATGTATGACTGTGAGCTCCTTGGTTAATTCAAAGTTAAAACCAATTATAAAACTTTGGTTTTCACCCAAGGACAATCTGAAAACCATAAAATCATCTCCACCTGAAGAAAAACCTTGAAAGTAGCACAATGTTGTAACTCTCAATTGAAATAAAGAATTCATCTCTGGAAGTGAACAACTTAAATGTGAATGAGCCATCTAAAATACCCTTTGTGTCAACACCAGTTCATCCATTAACAAATAAGCAAAGCAAAATTGATTATAAAGAGATAAATGGTAGTAAACCAATTTTTGAATCTATAATTCTTAGGAATTCTTTCTCCTCTACTAGTATACCTGCTTTATTTGTAATTTCTGTAGCTCTACAGGTTCATCTAAGGAAGTTTTAATTCATGTAGTTGTTGATCAAGTTCAAGGACAGGCATTCATAGCTTTTCAAGTTTTGAAGGTATTTCATTTTCACTAATATGGTGGAACATTTATAATATAAACCTCTATAGATTATGAGGACTTTCAACCTATTGCTCAAATATCTAAATCTTTTCCAAGTTATTGAGGTTGATGCTTAACCTAGCAATTTCTATACATGTCATGAATATGTTCGATGGTTAATGTCTACAAACAATGTTTTTTCAAGGTATAGAAGCCTTTCTTATTACTCTTGTGTTTGGCAGTATGTAGGCATTGGGAAATAAGCGTCTAATTAGCAATATAAAATGGGAAAGTTTATTACTTGAATGCCTTTTTGTTACTTGTAAGAATATAATGTCAAAAGTTTATCTTGAAAATATTACTGAACTTGCATTTGATGACATCACATTAGATGACTTTGATTTTTCATCCATTTAAGGTGAGAATAGGATTTCTTATTCTTGGCCATAATATTGGTATAGTAACTTTCTTTTTTTGTTCTAATCATTGTTGTTAATGGAGTTAGGTATTTCAAGCTTGGCAAAGGCTGGACTTATTTGAAGCAAGTTTTCAAATCAAGATCTGCTTAATGACGATCTAGGCCTAGTTTACTTTTTTTCAGAAAGGTTAACATTTTCCATTTATTTTTATATTAACTAACATTTTGCTGCCAATTATTTTAATAGACCTTTCTACACTTAACAATACTAAGTTTATATTAAATTATTTTAGATAAATAAAATACTACAAATTAATTTAACACATCGAGCAAAACCGGGCTCCACACTAGTTGATGTGAAAATCATCACACACTGTTAGGTTTTATCTCATCATAAACCGTCTGTAAAGATCTTAAATCCCTTACAATGACTAACAATGACGAAAATTGTGACTATGTTTTCCATGCCATTACTGATAAGATGTCACAATTTTATCAATTTTGTTACAAATTAGTAACAAAATTTTTTGTCACAAAAGTTACAAATTACGCAGCATCCATATAATAGAGCTGTCAAAATTTGATTCGACAAAAAAAAATCCATTTGATTGGTTGAAATCCTAATTTGACCGATTTGATTTGAATAAAAAAATCAATAACTCAAAATGGTTTAACTTGAACATGAATTAACACAAACACAAATTCATCAAAATTTAAATTAAATCAAATTCAAATTGATTTAAACTCAAATTAATCTAAATCCAAATTCACTCGAATCCAAAATGATCCAGCAAAAATTAAATTGAGTATAATTTTACTTTATAAATATATTAATGTAATTAAAATAATAATATAGCATATTATTATTTTATTAAAATTTAATAAATTTTAAATTATCTTCCTAATATCTTTATTTAACTTTTTCTCTTAATTATATTTAAAAAATCAAAAGCCCATTCTTTATGTTTATTCCAACAATATAACAAAAAATAACTAAATAGATAAATAATAATTTTAAAAAGAAAAATCCATAAAATATTAAAAAATTAATAATAAGTCAATAAAACTAATTATAATACAAGACACCATTAAATTAAAATGAAAAAAATTAATAATTAATGTTGGTCAATACTTGTATGAAATATCAATATGAATATTTAATAATAAATAATTAATTAATACATGAAATATTAAAAATAAATATTAAATATCATTCAACAAAAATTCATTAATATTTTTATTATGAACAAAATTAATTTTACTTTTAATGTAATAAAATTTTGTACAAGAGTTTTGTGACATTGCAAAAGTTTGCTACTTTTTTTTTATAAAATGGAAAAGAAAGGAGTTGGAAGTTAAAAGTTAAGAGGGAATTGGAAATTAGAAAAAAAAAAATCTTTTTTAGAGTGTGTAATTGAGCTAAATTAAGTTGACACATTATCATATTTAAATTTAGCTTGACTCAAACTTAATTAAGTCTTATTTTTTATGCTTGAGTTTAGCTCATAATTTAATTGAGCTTCTCAAAATCAATTCAATAAGATTGATTAGGTTTGTTAAAATTGTAAATATTGATATTAAATATTATATTTTATCATTATTTATATATATTAAATATATAAAAAATATTAAAGCTCGATTTAGCTCAATTAGGGTCGCAAACTTCTCGGATCAAATATTAAACTATTTGAATTCATTTTGATTTGTTTTTCGACTAATTCGAACTTGACTTGACAATGAATAAATCGAATTCAAATAACTCACAAATAACTTAACTCATGTCTTTCTCTTCTTTTTTTTTTAAACCTCTAAATTAAAAGGAGTAAAAAAATTCTTTTAACATTTACAATAAATTATTAATTCTAAATAATTTTGTGAATTATCCATACATAGTTTAAGTATACCCTATAATAATATCATTTTGCTAAATGTAAAAATTTGTTTTACAATGTTTTCCTTGTGAGGTATATCAAAAAGTAGCTTTTCACACTTAATAAATTGTGTTGTATATTAAAAAGTAGCTTTTATAAGAGGATTCTTTAAAATAAACTAGTGTTGGAGCCCAGCTTCGCCCAATCTATTGTAATAACAAACACTTAGGTGCCTATTTGTTGCAATTGCAAATGGCTCAATTATTGCATACCTATTCAACTTGTGAAGATAAGCTTCTAATATATTTGGTTATGTAAAATTATACAGGTTACAAATAAACATTGGTAGGATGATGCTATAATTCATAATTGAGATCACTAGAAAAACCTCATTATTATCATTCATATGGGAAAAAAGATTGATGAAAACTTACATAATGACCCCTCATAAGATGCTATATGGGATAAATGATTCCTTGTTTGACTTCAGCAACTTTGAAAGCATTTATGCATCGCAAGGATGGATGTGTAGAGAATCTGAACTCACAGGCAACTCTTAAACTTCTATACGTTGAATCTGATATCAAACCATGAGTCCAACAGTACTTAAATGTACTAACAAAACCATAGTAGTTATCAGTAATAGCATTTACAACCTATTAATGACAAAATAAAAAAAAATCATTTGCCATTAATAATTGAAATTGCAACCATGTAATAAAAAATGTTCTCATTAATAACCCATTATCAACAAAAATCCCTTGAAATTGAAAATAGGATTCTAAACCCTAAACAATTTGAGACAATTGAAAAACACAATGACCTAAAAGTAATTTACCAAGAATATAGTCTTTTACTTTTAACCTATAGTCCTCCAAGCTCCAACTA